AACGGGCATGCCCCCACACTCTTCAGACAATAGGAGCCTCTTAACCTGTTCCTTTGTCCAGAGACACAGGCCATTTCTCAGTGAAGGCCTCTGCCATCACTGAGGTTGCAGGGGAGATGTGGTAACTGGGGAGAAAAAGACCAATGGGGATGACCCCCTCACTCCTCAACATGCAAGCCCCCCACTTTCTCACTTGTCTGGCTAGAAATAAAAGGTTGATCCCATGGTTTTAACTTTCAGCTGCTGCTGGACTTTGCATGCCTTGCGTAAGCTGGGAGACAGAGGCAGGAAAAAAAAACCCACCATAATCACCCTGTTACGGCCATGAAATTAACTGCCCTGCCCTTATGAAATTAACACTGGAGTAAGAGAGACAGATGATAAACACACACATAAAAGAGAGCTTATAGTAGGAATAATACTATGAAGAAAGTAAAAAGGGTAATGGGCTAGCAAGTGACTTTGGAATGGAGCAATGATTGCTAAGAGTGTTAAACGGCTTTCTGAAAAGCTGATGTCCGAGCTGTGACCTGAGTGACATAAAGGAACCAGCCATGAAGATCAGAATGAAGGGCAGTCCTGACTGACACAATCTCCTGATTTGAAGTTCTGAGGTGGGAACAAGCTTGATGTGTTTCAGCCCAATTAAGAGATAAGGGCAGAGAGGTTGGCAAGCAGCCAAATTGTATGGGGTTTTATAGGCCATGATCAGAATTTTGCATTTTCTTCTACATACAATAGGAAAATGTAGGGGCAGGGGATAATTAGGGTTTAATGCCTAGACTATGAAGATTTAAGTCAAGGGCTGATGATTTCAATTAAATTACTTCTATGTATCCCTACATATGTGGAGGACTGGAGAGGAAAGGAGAAGTTGTTCATGGTATGCCTGGGAAACAAAAGAAAAAAGAGTACCTTCACATCAGTCAGCTCACAAAACTCAGGATTCTAGAGTCAAGTAAATCTTAGTGATCATCTGATTTAACACTCTACATTTAGGGGTAGCCTAACTCAGTTAAAGAAAAAGAATTTGTGGGACTTCCCTGGTGGTCCAGCAGTTAAGACTCCGCATTTCCACTGCAGCGGGCACAGGTTCCATCCCTGGTCGGGGGAACTAAGATACCGCATGCCACGCGGTGTGACCAAAAAGCAAAAAAGAAAAAAGAAGAGAAAAAAAAGAAAAAGAACTTGTGATGGAATTAGTACCAGACTCTCATAACTCTTCATAAGGCCCAGAATACCTTCAACAAATTCAAAGGGAAGATGAGAAATTATTTACAGCCTCACAAATAAAGATCTACAGTGAAGGTACAAAGCTGTTCTTGATTATTCATATCTAATGATAAAGATAATAATAGAAATTACCGTGTATTGATTACCTACTTATGTATACTAATTTGAAAGCTCTACATGGCTTTATTTAATACTTGAAATAGCCCTATGAGGTAGGTATATGAATGAGGGAACTAAAAGTCACAAAGAATTAAGAAACTGGCCCAAGGTCACCCTGCTGGTAAGTACTAGTACTGGGGACTGCCTCCCTTCTTCAAAATCCGCTATACTCTGCTTCTATAAATGATACTGAGTACAAGATAAAAACAGTTATTTTGCTGCTGTCTGTGTTTTATGGAACTCAAACACACACACACACACACAAAGAATGCTTCCTAATAGTAAAAGGTGTCAGTCTACAAATAAAAGTATAGTTATAGTAACAGATATTTATTAAGCATTAATCTCATGTCAAGCCCTGTGCTAAAGAGTTGGTTTAATTTACATCATTTCTAATGGATAAGCAACTTAAAAAAAATCATGTCCAACTATATGCCAAGCACAAAATGAGTCCAGTTGCCTGTTTGGGAAAGAAAATCACTGGCTTTGGCAGCTCCTCCTCCTGCAATGTCAGCACCCTCTGCCCCAAAGCAGTAGGACTCATTCTGAAAATCAACTTACAAGTACTCTAAGACAACTTGTGGACTGGGCTATCACTTTGACTTCTACCTCATTTTCCCTCTTTTTAAGTCAAGATAAAAGCACACACTGACCTAAAACTCTTCTTTACTGTAATTACCACGATTATCATTTATGGTTCATTGACGGGCTTTGTCAACTTAAGATGGCACTGTGATCTCCAATATCCACATTCTAATTTTCCTTCAAGCTCGTCAAAGAAAAGCAAGCAGTATTTTAGGGCTGTACAGCTGCCAAGCAGCACTGCTTGCCTGTCATGGTGTCGGTAGCTGAGCCAAGGAGATCGTGAAACTGACTTGAATCCTAATTTTACCTCACCATGGCCAACATGATGGTTCTGACCATGTGGTTAACCCACTGAAAGACTTCACGGAGCAAGATACAGATTGAAGTGGATTTCATATCTGCTCTAAAATTATGTTTAGGAGTACATGTGTGTAATTTTGCACGACTCACTAATGTTGGATCTGAATCCTTATCTCTAAAATGAAAGGGTGATGTGATCTAAAGTCCCTTTAACATGCTCTGATTGTTATATGATTTGTGGTTAGAATCACTTCTAACTCTAAAAGTTTATAATTCTTCACCATATCAAGTACTGACATTTTGCATATCTATAAATAACAAATATCAAGGTGGTCTAGGACAGAGTTTCTTAAATTTTAGATTTCAACTCATTAGTTGGTAATAAAATCAGTTTAGTGGGCAGTGATCACATTATAAAAAAGTAAACGAAATGTGTCAGAATAAACCATTGTGTTGTAAAACTTTTGTTTCATGGATGACTTTGAGGGGTTCAAGACTTCAGTGGAGGAAATAACTGTAGATGTGGTGGAAATAGCAAAAAAAACTAGAATTAGAAGTGAAACCTGAAGTTGTGACTGAACTGCCACAATTTTATGATAAAACTTGAATGGATAAGCAGCTGCTTCCAATGGATGAGCAAAGAAAGTGGTTTCTTGAGATGGAATCTACTCCTGGTAAAGGTGCCGTGAAGACTGTTGAAATGACAACCAAGAATTTAGCGCATTACATAAACTTAGCTCATAAAGCAGGGTTTAAGAGGACTGACTCCAATTTTCAAAGAAATTCTACTATGGGTAAAATGCTATCAAACAGCATTGATGCTGCAGAGAAATCATTCCTGAAGGAAGAGTCAATCGATGCGGCAAACTTCACTGCTGTCTTATTTTAAGACATTGCCACAGCACCCCAACCTTCAGCAACCACCACCCTGATCAGTCAGCAGCCAACAAGATCGTGGCAAGACCCTCCACCAGCAAAAAGATTACGACTCGCTGAAGGCCCAGATGACGGTTGGCATTTTTTGGCAATTATGTATTTTTAAATTTAGGTATGTATATTATTTTATACATAATGCTATTGCACACATAATAGACTACAGTATAGTACAAACATAACTTTTATATGCACTGTGAAACAAAAAAAATTGTGTGACTTGCTTTATTATAATATTTGCTTTACCTCAGCGGTCTGGAACTAAACCCACAATATCCTTGAGGTATGCCGTATCACACATAGTTTTCAGCACAGATGAGGAAGATAACTTCCTATCCTTACATACTGTGGACTTCAGTTCAGAAACTGGAAGTAGATATTCATCATTTATTGGAATCATTTCACCTATTCATTTAGAAAATTTTTTCTAGAGCTTCCTTTACATACCAAGTTCTGAGGATAGAAAGATGAAGAAGAGACAGACATTGCTGTGGCTTCTAAGACATCTCCAAGTGTGAGCAATATAATGTTGTGCCAGCAGCTCAATACCAAAAAAACAAACAACCCCATCCAGAAATGGGCAGAAGACCTAGATAGACATTTCTCCAAAGAAGACATACAGACTGCCAACAAACACATGAAAGAATGCTCAACATCACTAATCATTAGAGAAATGCAAATCAAAACTACAATGAGATATCACCTCACACCAGTCAGAATGGCCATCATCAAAAAATCTACAAACAATAAATCCTGGAGAGGGTGTGGAGAAAAGGGAACCCTCTTGCACTGCTGGTGGGAATGTGAATTGGTACAGCCACCATGGAGAACAGTATGGAGGTTCCTTAAAAAACTACAAATAGAACTCATATGACCCAGCAATCCCACTACTGGGCATATACCCTGAGGAAACCAAAGTTCAAAAAGAGTCATGTACCAAAATGTTCATTGCAGCTCTATTTACAATAGCCAGGAGATGGAAGCAACCTAAGTGTCCATCATCGGATGAATGGATAAAGAAGATGTGGCACATATATACAATGCAATATTACTCAGCCATAAAAAGAAATGAAATGGAGTTATTTGTAATGAGGTGGATAGACCCAGAGTCTGTCATACAGAGTGAAGTAAGTCAGAAAGAGAAAGACACATAAATGGAATTTAAGAAAAAAAAAATGTCATGAAGAACCTAGGGGTAAGACAGGAATAAAGACACAGACCTACTGGAGAATGGACTTGAGGATATGGGGAGGGGGAAGGGTAAGCTGTGACAAAGTGAGAGAGTGGCATAGACATATATACACTACCAAACGTAAAATAGATAGCTAGTGGGAAACAGCCACATAGCACAGGGAGATCAGGTCGGTGCTTTGCGACCACCTAGAGGGGTGGGATAGGGAGTGTGGGAGGGAGGGAGGCTCAAGAGGGAAGAGATATGGGAACATATGTATAACTGATTCACTTTGTTATAAAGCAGAAACTAACACACCATTGTAAAGCAATTATACTCCAATAAAGATGTAAAAAAAAAAATCTAAAATAAAGTTTAAGTAAAAAAAAATAATAATAATAATGTTGTGCCAGTCCCGGAGGTCATTTACTCCAGAGGAAAATACATTTGTCATCCCTAATATAAATCAACGTTATATTGAATGAATGAATTAATGAACCAATGAAGCAACTCAAGATAAAACCAGAATCCAAATGAATTGAGGGACTTTCCTGTCTGCTTTTTCACCACTGGTCTAGCCCCAGAGTAGCAACCACCAGGCATTTAAGGTTGTGCTTACCTGTCCCTCCATGGGAGGCTCCTCTGTATTTAGAGGGATTTTTGATTCAACATCTTCCCACTGCGGAAGGTGGTTAGAAGCTGAGGTATCAGTAGCAATGCCACCATTGTGTACCTTGACGCCATTTGCTCCTTGGCAGGAGGGAGGAACGTGGTGAAAGAAAAGACTCTTCTGTGGCATAGGGAGAAACCAGGCTACAGCGAAAGCCACAGAAACACAGGTAAGAGAGATGACATTCAGGCTGAATAGGGACCAGCCTGCCACTGAGACGAGGATCTGCCCTAGGACAGAGCCCACTGTGAAGCCCACCAAGGTGGCACTTCGACAGTAACTCGTGACTTTCTGGTACATGCTCAGGTCTACCACACTGTAGATGTAGGAGTAATAGGCAATTTCAGTGGCTGTGGCGATGCCATAGAAGAATTCCAAGAACTGAATGGCCAGCAGTCCCTGGGCATAGAGCAGCATGAACCACGTAACAATAAGGCTGAGTCCCTGCAGCAGAACAACAGGTTTATAACGGAGGAAGTCTGTGGCAAGGAACACAGGAAACAACAGCACCAGGTAAGAGTAAGTCCATACTGGATATATTTCATTGAAGACCTGGTAGAAAAAAGATAAAATCCCGTTAGTGATCTCAAAGGACCTGGAACATTCGTAACAATTTATTCTTATGAAAGAATCTAGCAGTACCTCAGAGATCTCATTTTTATCAACCAAAGAAATCTTGACAACAATTCTGATAATTGTTTGGAACATACTTCTCCGTTTCCACGCCACCGTCTTTTTCCTAATAAAATCTTCCCTATTCATCAAAGCCTAGCTCAACACCTTCCTCATCCCGGAAGACTTTCCTGCAGCTGATAGTGTTTGTATCCCAACACCCAAAAAGCTCTCCTGATACTGCTTTGTATGTGTCAGTCTCCTCAGTCACCTCACGGCACTGCTGCTTAACCATGGCTACACATCTCCCAAGGAGCTTTAGAAAATGTGGATGCCTTGCCGCAGGCATTTTTTAGAAACCTCCCAGGAGATTTTATTATGAGCCAGAGTTTAGAACCATTGCTTTATAGGGTGGACTTGACTTTCATTTGCACAACCTAACAGCTCGCACACTGTTTGGAAGATACTTGGCTCAGCAAATGCTTTGGAACCAAATAAATGTTTTGGAATCACTGTCAGTTCTTACTTCTAGAACAGAACAGGGAGCCATGATCCTACTGTTTGATTAGGTTTCTCTGATTTTAAGTTTCATTTCTTTGGGGTAACATGAATAGATAAAGAAGGTAAGTCTGTCCTACAGTCTTAACAGAGTTAACTATCTGTGGATGGTAGCAGTATAAGCAACTCTGTTGTCCTTCTTTTTGTACGTCTATACTATGAAAAAAAATGGAAGGTTTTTTTTTTTCATTAATTTTTCATTGGAAGATAGTAGAAATAATATTTAAACCACAAAGACCCCAGCTGGAATTTTCTGTTCCATCATTTGCCGTATGATTTTAAGCAAGTTTTTTTTTTAGTTCCTTTTAGCCTTAATCTCCATTATCAGTAAAAGAGAAGTAAAACCTATGCCACAGGGTGGTTTCTTGCAAGGACTAAATGAGAGAGTACATGTAAATCACTTACTCTTTTTTCATACGTTTAAAGACTTAAGGACTGAAGCTGAAACACAGACCACTTGGGACAATACAAATTAAATTAACTGAACTGTCGTCCCCATTCTTCGAATAACAATCATTGTAGGAGACTTTTCCCTCTTTTTACACCTACCCCATAGCCTAGTAAGTTCCTGGGGCTTTAAGTAAGTCAGTTTTATAAGTGATCATTTCAAAGTTTGGATCAGTGGCCTCAGTTTTTAAGGGCGTTCTGAAAGGTAGTCTTACTAACAATCTAAATACTTTGTGATGGAGCAATCTAATCCTTGGGTTTGACTTACTTTTTAACTCTCATGTATACCCCAGTTCACCCAACTAATTGTTTTAAGGTTTTAGAGGAACAATAAAGTAAAAATTTTATTTTTAGTAAATTATTATAAAATATTTGCCAATGCAGAGAACAACTATAAAAGGAAAACATAATCTGAAATACATTCCAGACTTGATTTCTGACTGGCTGAATATCAAAAGTGATTTGTCTAATAGCCTTGCCTTCATGAATTCCGGTCTAATTTGTGTTTGCAAATCATCTAGCAACCTCCATTTACCAGGAAACTTTCTTGTGCCTGAATGTGTGCGTGAAAGAATAATCGAGAACTGTAGAAATGATTCTTACTCACAAGTGTGTAAGTTTTATCAAATGAGGAACAAAGTGCACTCGGCTGACTTAACACAGGGTCAGAGGCTTCTCAGTAGAAAACCAAAGGGGATAAGGGCAACCTTGAGATGAAAGCCGTGAGGAGTGAAGGCTTCCCTACAGACTTTTCACAGGTGTGCTCCATTAGCAACTTCCCACTCCTTTTTTGCCTATAGTTTTATTCATTCTCCTACAGTTTTCTTAAGTGTGAAACTGCCTCCTCTGTTTGACTCTGCATATTTCTTCACCTTCACATTTTCCCCAACATAATACTACAAAGCTATTAGCCACCACACTTTCCCTTTAAAAATACCTTCCTTCCATACCCAGTCTTCTTTGTTCTCCACCACACCGCTTGGGACTTTCACTGATTCTTCACTCCAGTAATACTGTCTGCACTTAGACATGTTATATACCCTTCAATACTAGTTGTCCCCAAATGATTAACTGTGAAGTTTTCGTTATATAAACCTCATCCTTTCAATTATCAATTTAAAGTGTTTACGCTTATGAGTCTAATTCCACTCCTAATACAAAACCCACAGTTTACATAATGAAGATAAGGAAAAGCAATGCCAAGTAGAAACTAAAATAAAGGCAAGCAGGGGAAAAAGACCAGATATGTTCTCTTTAACTTATTCTCAATGAGAAATCTGAATTTACTCCTAGGAGAGACATCAACCCAAGAGGACCGTCCCTCCCACAGCATTATCAGCATTATAATAGCACATCTCTACTGACACCACACACTATGCTAATCACCTCACCTATATGACCTCATTTAATCCAAACAACGCTAAGCGGTAGATGCTTTTATCATCTCTATCTTACAACCAAGGAAACTAGGCCTTATGTGAATTGCCCGAAGTTATCCCAGCTAGTCACCGGCAGAGGGAGTATCTGCACCTAGATATTCTGAATCCACCACCCTAAAATGCCCCATTTCTTCAATCAGAAAACTATTGTTGATCATCTACTATGTTCCAGGCTTACTTCTAATGCCATTAAGCAGCTTTTTCAACCTGCGTAGGGGTGCTTTTATGGGGCTTTCATGAAGAAAGAAGACCAGACAATATGCAGAGCTTAGCCACTGTGTCTCCAAAAGTCTCCAGAAGACCCCTTCTCTCTCAATGCCTCCAAGGAGAAGCTGTCACACCAGGAAATGCTTCTTTGATAGATACTCTGAATCCTGAAGGGAATCTTCCTACATGCAAAAATGTACAGGTTACAGACTCTTACTGGCCACACCTGGACGATACCTTCTTATCTCAGGTAAAAATCTGCCGTGTGAGCAAAGGGAACTGATTTTATTCTAAGGTGCCTTTCACAGTTCTCTGGATCAGAGCTTGTTTGTGCTTTCTTCTGAGACACAAGAAGTCAAGGGAAAACAGCTGTTCAGTTTTAAGCTCTAATTCAGATTTACACTTTATTTTAGAATCACAGTTCAATTAGACAACTAGTTAGTAAGCACTTATTTGCACAACACTGTTTTCAAACTGTATGGAGATTACGAAAACAAAAAAAGAATAAAATGAAGCCTCAGTTCTCCAGGAGTTCTGAACCTAGTGAAGAGCACATACACGTAAATTATTGACAAGGGAGTTAGGAAATATGGGGGGTTGCTCCTTTGAGATGGACCTTGAAGGATGAGAAAGTTAGATCCACTGGATTTATGACTATAAGATTAACGTGGATGGAGCTTGGGCATGTAGAAGGCAAGGGGAAGAAGGATGTAGTGGGAGATAAGGGTGTTAAGGAGATAAGAGCCAAATTCTGTAAGGCTCTCAATATTAGGCAGAATAGTTTTAAATTTAATGTCTTAAAAGTATCAAAGAAAGGTAGTGAATGTCAAATCCCACGCTGAAAAAGATGAAAGGATAAAAAATTTTTGGTGATAAAGAGCTCTATTTTATTAAAAGTTTGGCTTTCAACTACTGAAAGACAAATTTTAACCTGTTTAAAATTTATAAAGTGATACAGAAAAAAAAATCCTTTGAGAGTGGAAAAAGGAAATTCTGACCTTCTTTTCCTCCTTTTGTCTTTGGCCTTGGTTAACAACAGCTCTATCTAAGATGACTGCTCTTGGACCTTCTAAAGTCTCCTGAGGGAAATACAAAATTCAACACAAATAGACTGACCATGATTTGGCATTTGCTTTGCCTAAAAATCATGTAATATTAAATAAATAAATAACTGTACCTTGGTGAAAACAAGCAGTCAGAAAGGAGAACAAGTTGTCCTATTTATTTCAGTTATTAGAGATTTTTAAAAACCTAGGGTTCCAGAGAGGGTGGACAGAGCCATACTGTGCACGACCATCAGAATCAGCCATGATTCTGAGGTCCTCAGACACAAACAACATACCTTTCCAGACTTCTGGATTTTTTCTTCAAACCCTGCCCTCTTCCTCATCTAATTTGCAGTAACAGAAGTGTGCTATGTTTTTGTTACACATTCAGCAAATGTTTCCTGGGCCTGGCACCTCTGCTTTATTGCTATACACCTCGAACATATTTCACTCACCTAGGTAGCTTCCTGATAAGACGGGACACATGATGGCACATCACACAGCAATTCTGCCCAGGGCACTTGTACAAAACAGTTCGGCTTTCAAATACCAACAATGGGAGCATGTTTCTCTCCCCGTGTGCTTCTCTTTCAGGCAAGGTGCACAAACTGCAGATCACGTGGCAGTTCACATGAAATTTTAATTGTTAGCAGCTCACAGACAGTATCATTTCTGCTTCAGTGGCTACAATTCAGATTTGGTGTTTGCTGTGGGTCTCCAGAATCATTCTCTCTTGTATTTACTGAAGTAATTTTCTTCTTGGAGAATCATTCTGTTCACAAGAGTTGGCCCTTTCCACTTTATTATTGTTTTTAACCAATACTATAATTCAAATAGGTAATGAGTAACTCTTACAGTTCCTTGTGGAGTGGTCCATAAGACTGAGAAGTAGATCTGAAGTTGGGTAAAAGTCAGTGCCACTTGCTAGAGGTGAGATAATGTGGGAAACTCAAATGAAATCCTCAACCAAGAGTTCAATCCCTTTCAAGTGCCCTTGAAAATGGAGGAGCAATGCACCAACAAACTGGATTATGAGTAATTACATCCTGCTCTGACCTGTTATGCAGGGATACTCAAAACAGGTGACTACTAATCACAGGGGAGAGAGTAAGGTTTAAATGGGAGGAGTACTTCACAGCAGCTGGGGCAGGAAGGCAGGGTGGGAGGAGAAGTAGACATAAGAAATAAGAAACAGCTAACAACTGCCCACTCAGCTTTCACCCTTTTGTTCCAGAAAGCAATACCAGACCTCAGCTTTCTTGCTTTGTAGTGTTCAAGGAAGAGGATGCTGAATCTGCTTTATTTGGGTTTTGTGGTAGCAGCTTGAGTTTAAGTCCTTTTTCAGTTAATATAATGTCTTTCTTTTTCAAAAAACTGGTGTTGAGATTGACCATACACTTTAAAGAGTTAAACACATTTTTAAAGTACACAATGCACTTCAAGTACTTTACTTATAAATCCTCCTGGGGAAGTCAGTCAGCAAAAAGTTCTTGATCATGGACTATGTACTCTTAATTAATCTCAACATCGCAGCAGAACAGAAAGGAGCAAAACTAACATCCGTGAAGCAACAATTCACAACGCAAGAAAAACTATAATTAAATGCCAACTATGTGATACCATCTAAATACCTGCTTTTATCCCGGGAGGTGGGGTTGGGGGAGTGTGTGGGAAGCGTATTCCTGGACACAGTCTCGCCCAACCAAAAATCAAGACAAGATGATGGGTTCTTGTCTTGTACAGTCCTTATTTGAGCACTTCCATCTCTCAAGGGTAAACAATGCAAAGTAGGGGAAGGAAGAGGGTGCAGCAGGTAGAGGGAAGATACTTTCAGAAAGCAGGAGTTACTCAGCATCTGGTTCCTTACTTTCCGGCAGCAAATATTTATTTAAACTTTTACCATGTCCAAAGTACAACCTGCTGTTTTCCCTTTTATTCTCCAAATATTCTCCTCCCCCCCCCGCCCCCGTCCCCGCCCCCAAGCAGGAACTGCTGGATCAGTCGGAGCAGAGTGGGGCTAAGTTCCATTACAGCATCATCAGCACAGCGCCTGAAGCACACGTGAACTGGGGCTCCCGAACCGCGTTTCGAGCCCTTCACCTAAGACACGGCCTATCAATCCAACGCAGGAGAGAAAAACAGCGTGAATTAAGACAGCGCCCAGCACGGAGCCGCCTTCCAACTGAGAAAAGTCAGCAATCTCTGCTCAGAATGGCTCCCGCGTTTCGAGCTCCTTTCTCACTCCTCCTTTCCTCAGCTACAGCCCCTCCGCCCGCTCTCACCTTTTCCCGCACATCTCGGCGCCCGCGCCCCGCGCCGGCCGAGCCACCTCCCGCCCGCCCCCCGCGCCTACCTCCCTCTTCGTCAGGTTCTTGTCGGGCCCCAGCAGGTACGGGGTCAAGAAGGGCTCGGACGGCCTGAGGCTGGCGAAGAAGCCGTAGGCGCAGAGCAGCGCGGTGGGCACGAACCAGCACTCGCGCGGGACCCGAGCCGTGCGCAGGAGCATGGTGGCCGCCGCCGCCGCCGCCCGCCGTGTCACCGGGCCAGGCACATCCATCTGGGGCGCGAGGGGCGGGGACCCGGCCCGGCCCTTTCCTTCTCCTTTTCCTCCTCGGTCAACCGGAGTGAGGTTGAATCGCTGCCCCAGCGCAGGCACCTGCAATTGCGAGTGGCGCCTCCTCCCGGTAGGGCCAAGCAGTTCTGAGACAGCCGCCTCTGATCGCAATGACTCCCAGCCTTTCCTGATTGCGAGAACCTCACGAGTCGCCACCCGCCCGCTGAGCGGCAGAATACCATTCACGCCCTAAGGCCCACCCTCCGCCACCACCTCCCTGCTGAGAGCCAATCACAGAGGACGCCGGGCATTGGCTTCTGTCCCATTGGTCGGTGGCTCACAAGATGCGAACCCGCGGCGGCGGTGTCGGCGGCACGCAAGAGCGCAGACGTACGCTGGCTCGGGCGCAGAGGACTTGTAGGACTCAGGTCAGACCGCGGCTGTTCTGGCGTGCGCTGCTCAGGGGGCGAGCCCTCCGCCCCCGCTGGAGGTCGGTTAAGTCATCCCTCGTGCTGCAGCTCACCTGTCGGGAATGCTCCGCGTGGGCCTTATCCCCACCAAGAGAAACGCGCTGTTACACACATTTTCTGATTCTTAACCACGGTCCATTCAGATTTTCCTTCCCAAGTGGCCAGCTCCGGGCAAAGATTTAACCTTGGGACGGGGAATGCTCTACCTTTCTTCCAGCAGCTTTCAGGTTTTAAATTGTATTCATCTGCAGTAAAAAGACATCAGAAGGCCGGGATCTAAACGCTCCGAGGCGTTTACCAAGAGCTGGAGCAGGAAAAAGTGGATAAAGTGCTGTGAAAAGAATGAACGAGCTAGTTGCTTAACAGAAGGATCGTAATGGAGTCCTACTGAAAGGGTTTTAGCTTTATGTCGTTACTTTTTGTAAGCGGGATACAAAGAAAGCAAACAAAACGTAACTGTAGATATAGGCTGTGTTTAAAACGTAAGGGGGAAATCCAGAGTCATTAAAGCAATCACGAAATATCATCGATCTCTTTATTAAAAAAACCAAAACAGAGGTCTTGGCATAGTTTTCAAGGGCAAAGCATGACAAGAATCCGCAGTGCTTTCTTTAATTTTTGTCTATAAACCTCTTTCTGCCTGACTCAGACTGACTGTAACCCAATCCTTCCACTGCAGACCAGCGGCACCATTTAAAGCAATTTCCCCTGTGCAGTATTTGCAGACTAACAGATCCTACCAGAAGCTCACAGAAAACATTTTTGAACTCTATTTTGCTTTAATGTATGTTACGACCTATCTAGCTCAATTTTCTTCCTGGGTCAGCAAATGACACTTGTTGCAAAAAGGATACTTTTTGCAATCAGCCACACAACTCTACCAGATGGAACGACATACTAGTAAAGGGAAAGGAGATTTGTTTCTAAGACTGCACAAGTGGATGAACCAAAATATGCGAGTTGATTGACCGCTGAAGAAATGCAGTTGTTGGTATTTACTTCTATCAGTGGGTCTCAAAGTGAGGTCCAGGAAGCCCAAGGGAACCTTGGGATCTTTACAGAATTCCACGTGGTCAAACTACTTTCATAATACTAATAAGACTTTATTTCCTTTTGCATTCTAGAGACTACATGATATGTGATGACATTGTCACTCTAAAGACCAAGAGAATGCATGTTTGTATATTTTTGCATTTAAAAACTTTTCAGATTTAATTTCTAATATGGCAACTATGAGTAGGTATAACCCACAAAAATAAAGTCTTTAGGGTCCTCAATAACAGGTGTCTTGAAGCCAAAAAAGTAAGAACTTCTACAATATACAATTATCTAGTCCTCTAAACTTCAGCCATAGTATCTACCTCTCATTATGACTACAGAGAGAACATCAGTGGTCCTCTTGGTAATTGCTTCCCTTCACATTTATTGATACATTCAGTGCTTTAGTAGAAGAGAAGGAAAGAGAAAAACAAAAGAGGCCTCAGAAAGAGAAGCCCACTTATTAAGAACAGCTTTCCATCCCTTCCCTGAGTCTTGGAGACCTGAATTGTTTTCATCTGTAAATCATTGGTTCTGAAATTTTTCCTTGGTATTAATCATTTAGGCAATGTTGGGCATTAACAAATAACAATTGTTCTTAAATTAGGTAGAAACTGTTTTATTATTTTTCTCTAAGAGGTCATGGCAGAATTCTAAGAATGACTCCCGGTGAGCCTGCCCTTCTATAATTCCCACCCCTTCGAGTGCGGGGTGGCACCCTTGAATTTAATGAGACAATACAACTGCTTGTTACATTGTATGGCCAACGTGAGATTATCCAGGTGGGCCCATGTTAGATTATCCAGGTGGGCCCATCTAATCACACTAGCCCTTTAAAAACAGAGAATTGGCTCCTGCTGGTGGCAGAAGAGGCGGGGAGAGATATTTGAAGGAGAAAGTTAGCCATGCTGTTGCTGGAGGGAGCTGTGTGCCAAGAATGTGGGTACCCTGTGGCAGTTGAGACTGACTCT